TGGTCGAGGTTTTTAAACAGAGTCTGCATGGCCATCTGTTGAAAGTGCTTTGATTGTGGGAGTCTTTTCATTTACACACAGTAGATGGTTAAGCTGAATTTCTTGTGATTTCTTCCAACTCTCTGATTCTATCGGATTGCTGGTTGCTGCTAACATGCTGAGCCAAGGCCCATCCAAACAGGTCCTGTCTGGGTTTTTACTGGGGGTATTCAAATGATGAATTAATTAAATACCTCATTAGAGCTGGATCTTCCAGAAAGGCCCAGATGCAATGTGGTATTGGGTCTGTGGAGACTGACTCCTGGTAGTCTTTGGGGTGAATACCCTTATGCTATAAAGAATGTTTTGGGCTCCTGGATCCCAAAAGTCCAGGATCCAACTCATCCCTCAGCCCCCAAAACAACCCTTAAAAGTAAAGAAAACTTACCTGGACAGGCTACCATTAAAGTCCTCTTTTCATTCTCCTGGTGCAAGGAAATGATGTGCCAGGAGATGAGGGGCGAGGCGTATCCTGGCCCCTGATGTGAGGAAATGACAGGCCCCATATCCTGGCCTGTCATTTCCTCACATCAGGAGGATGCAAGAAAGACCTTAATGGCAGCCAGGTAAGTTTTCTTTACTTTTAAGGGTTGTTTTGGGGAGCTTTGGGGTGGCTGCATGCCATCCCGATTGTTATTCGGATGGCATGTAGCCACCCTATCTGAGAAAGTTTGGATTTTGGTTGGCCTGTGAAGACAGAAATGTGTGCCAAAGTGTGTTTTAAAAACTCACTTTGGCACACATTTTTGGCCTGTCTGGAAGCTTCCCCAGTTTGATATAGTAGTCAGAGCATTGGACTCCTTGACTAGAGAGACATGGGTTCAAAAATATATCAGTAAAGCTCTTAAACCACTGAAACTCTTAAACTAATCTTAAACCATTCATTTGGTATTAGTTTAGCCTATTTATTCGGGGAGGGGGGTCCGATGAGGAAGCAAGCCATGTTGAATTATTTGAAGGACAGCCAGAATAAATTATTGTTCCTCTTCATTTTGAAAATATAAAAGTATTCACACTGAGGCTCACAGATAATTCAAATATTGAGAACACTTTATGTCACATTTTTAGGTACATGTCCTTAAGATAAAAAAATTAGGTTAACTAAAAGTGCTGAATGTTGAAGGTGGCAGAGAATAAAGCTGAATAAATATATTCAAGGTGTATGTGTGTGGCTGGATAGGAATAGATAGATAGACCTCAGATTTGCTATTTTGTATTTTGTCTTTTTCCAACATATACTGACCTCTTTCCTGACCTAGACTGATATTGTAATGTGTTGCTGTCATCCACTTTCATAGTCTTCTGGGAATCTATCTCATTGGACTTGTGTCAGAATAAAGATGCACAGCATTATGCTAGATATAGAAAAAGCTCCTTGGAACTTTCCTAATGCAATTGACAGTCAATGTGAGATCTTGGCAACTTTACTGACAGTAGAAACTTGATGACATGGACAGAGTGAAGAGAAGGCAACCAGAAAGACACAGCTCCAGCTTGTTTTTGTTGTTGTTGTGTGCTCTGACATAATTCCTGATGTATGGAGACCATAAAGTGAACCTACCTTAAGGTTTTATTGGCAAAATTTGTTCAGAGGGGGTTTGTCCTAGCCTTCTTTTGAAACTGAGTGTGTGACTTGCCTAAAGCCACCCACTGAATTTCCATGGCCACACAAGAATTTAAATTCTCATCTTCCAAGTCCAATACTGAAGCCAGTTCACCATGTTGGCTTTCTGAGAACATTATACTAGCTCTTTAAATAATGAGTATTATGAAAGTCAGAGCACCATACTTACTGGATTGTCTCCTCAAAAATACAATTAAATATGATTATATTTATTTTCCTATACTTCCCAGAATACAGGAGGAAATAAAGCATGTAAATGATGTCATTTGCCAAAATTGTAAGTATAAATTCTACTTCAATTACTTCTTTTAAGAACAACTCCATCCATGACCTTATGTATGAGAATACAGTGGGAAATCAAATATACAGTATTTCCTGCACAAAGCCAACTCTCTGCACTAGGTGTTAAGTGTGCAGCGAGTGAGCCAGAAAAAGGTACCTGAGGACTCATCTTGAAGCTGCAGAAGTTTTCAAGAATATTAGACAAAACAGAATTTATTGTCAGAGATTCAAATGCTTGAAAAAAGAACCTGGCACAGAAATGCAGGAACAACAGAAAATTAGAGGCAGTCCCCAAGTTACAAACATCTGACTTACAAATGACTCATAGTTAAGAATGGGGGTGAGACTACAGGAAATGAGAGAAATCAACCCTCTGGAAGGGAAATCAACTTCTGGAAGAATTATCATGGAGAAAAGATGTCTCCATTGAAGTTTTATCACCAATCATTGTTTCCACAACAAGCCATATTTTCAAAATCCAGTTATCACAAATAACAGAAAGTATGGTGAAATCTTCTTAACAGGGGCACAGACAACAAAACAAACAACACAGGGGAGTTAACCTTTCCCTATGCCATTCAAAGCTAATATATTTATATAATAGATTTTTACTGGAGTTACACTTTAAAAATTACCTCTTTTGACTTACATACAAATTCAGTTTCCAGACAAACACACAAAACCTATCTTGTTTGTAACTTGGGGACTGCCTGTAATACAAAAGTGCAATATTAACACTAAAACTGACAGACAATACGAGGCCTCTGCATTATCCTGGGTTATGATCTAAACTAAAATCAGTTTACCTTGTCTTAAGAAGAATTGGGTCTTGTGTGCCTTTATGGAGGACATACTGGGAAATCTACTTAACTCTGTCTCAAGTCCCAACATGTTAGCAAGTACCAGCAATAGCTTAGGACTGACATAAAATTATGCACTGCTTCTAGATCACATTACTTTCATTCAAATTATCCATTATTTAACTTACATTCTATATATTTCATCATAACCATAATGCAATTTAACCTGGACTTAATCTTATTGTTACAGATTAAGTGTCAATTTGGTATTATATTTTGCAAAATATAAGCTTCTGAAACCTAGATGTTCTATGAATTATAAAGCAGAATTATTTGTAAATATTAAAAGCATAATAGAAAATCTCAAGCATTTTATGAACATACTTTGAATTGAGAGAGACCTAATACACATAAAATATCTCAATTGCTTTCTTAAAAATGCTTTAAGAGTGTGTTGTCGAAGGCTTTCATGGCTGGAATCACAACCCAGCTTTAAAAGTGTTTCATAACTCCAAAAACCACACACATATGATGAAATATGATGAAATAGGCTCTTGCTGTCCCTACCACAAGCTAGGGAAAGCATTGAAAGGAATACATTTTTGGAGTGAGATCCCACAGAAAAACTGGGAATTTTCCCTCCTGATTCAATTACAATCTGAGGAAAATAATATGTATATGAAGCCTGATTTCTTTTTTATGAAATCTTGATGAGTTGCTGAAGCTCACACCCAAATTTGAGTTCAGAGATGCAGCGTTATTTCTATTGCTGGTCAATTGACATAATGTTAACCCGATAGGCTAAGGTTCGTGCACCATCCATGGCTGAGAAATATAGTAAATCTTCTGCCTACCTAACTCAGTGATTCTTGTCTTGCATGTCTGCTTAATAACCCAGAAATCACATTTCCTCAGAATATAGGTGTGCTTACAATATAATATAAAATGCAGTTAATGTTTGTAGATGGAAGCTTATGACATTTCTAGAGCAGCATGGAAATAACTATAGATGTAGTGGTATCCATGTGAAGAATTAAAACAGTTTATGGCTACAATACTATACATGATTACTGTAATAACTAGTTACACAGACATTTTCTATTAGATAATTAACTCCTTTGAAACAGACTACTTTCCTGAAAAATAAAATTCAGACAGCCTTCAGGTGCTAATCTGTTAAGAGTCATATGTAGACACACTTCATAACAACTCATAGATTTCTACAAACATGACTTGAGCAACACCACTGCTACTACCAGGAACCATTTGATATTGATGATTTTTAGACTCTAGAATCATCTGATACTGAAAGAGTTCAAGTTGTATTGAAAAATCTAGTAATAGTGAAGTTGTAGTTCCTATATACAGTAATTCACACAACTACCACAATCCATTATCTTACTAGATGCAATTTCAATCAATTTTAAAATATTTTTAAAATTCCAAATACAGTGTCTATCAACACCTGATGGGTATTTCTTGCAGTGTACACTACTACCTCTCATTTATCATATTCCAAATAACCCCAGATATAGGCAAAAACAAGACAGAAGAGAGAATTTTTAAAGGAATTTCCTACCACCTTTTTCTCTTCCCTAACTTATACACCTCACTATCAAAATCTGTGTGGGCAGCAGTGGTATATGGTTTGCATTTGAGCACACTTCCATCTTACAGATCCTATTAGCATCTATATTTAATGCAGGGAATCCTAAATATGGCTCTTCCACATATTACATCCATTTAATAGCACAGTTTCTCAAAATATCATCCCAAGCCTCTTCCATTTTAAAAGTGTTCAGTAATAGCAGACAAAAAAATAGATGGATAAGGAAAAAAAAGGGTGGCAGGGAAGCAAGATTTGCAGTAAACTCTTGAGTTGTTTCAATGAGCAAGAGTGCCTCAAATATTTACCATCTCTTGTCCAAGATGCTATATCCTGAAGGAAATGGAGCACTGCTGTGTTAACTTAGTGTTTTATCTGCTTAGCTACTAAACAAAGTGATCACACTGAATACCTATATTTAGTCCTAAAGTGGAGGTGAAATATTTGTAGGGTATCATTTATGGAAATACCAGCTAGTCAGGGTGTTTTAAATGCCAATTATTTCAAAACCCAAACCGAGAAGTGGGAAAAAAATAAATAAAATTAAAAGTACTGTGTTAAAAAAACAAACAAAAAGAAATGAAAAAACACCCCTACAACTCCAATGAGCATGCTCGAGAAAAAAAATTATATCCAGCTAGGTACTTACAAGTAATAGGAGTAGGAATATGCATTTCTTCTAATTATGCAGTCAGATGAAGAAAATGTCCAAAAGTGGGGAAGAAGGAAAAAAGCATGATTAGACTTTATATCATTTACTTTCTGACTGAAACGAACACAGCATTGCACTGCTTTTTTTTACTAATCAATTTGCTTTTACTTCCTATACATTTCTGAGCACTGTTCTTTAGTTTGTTAGCTATTTTTTTTTAGAATAAGAATTCCTGGTTTCCACAATAATATTTGTCACTTATGTATTGCAAGTTTCTGGCTTTTTAATTCCTCAGGAATTTGTACCTATCCACTGTTAAAGAGCAATTTAATGTATTAATAAAAGAATAGGGATGGAAATAACATTGCTTTTCATTTCCAGGCTTATAAAAGAGGTTTCTAAAGCTTAGAACAACACAACAGTGAATTTTTTTTGTGAATTTTCTTCTTCTGATATTTGCATATCTCAAAGTGTTCTGAGGAATTATTCAATGCAGAAATACAATAGTTTTTCTGTGAATTTTGTTATTATTGTTTTGCAAAGAAAAAATGGTTCCTGTGCAGGGAACAAAGTATTTTGCATAGAAAATGGTGTTTCCTATAAAACCTGCATTTTGTGCATACAATTCATTTTATAGAAATAATCTAAAGAAAGATCTAAAAACTTGGCTTTCCCGATGTGCTTTTGGAGAGTGACCATATGTTTCATTCCTGATGCTTTACGTTCAGTGTTGTCCTCATTTTGCACTCCCTCCCCCACCTTATTGAAGGCCTAACTCCACTGTTCCGTCCCCTACGAGCTTCTCCTTCATAAATATACCTGTTCACTGCTATCTCATCCAGAGTTTTATCATTTTATGTTATGGATTTGGCCTGCCCACTGTGTTTGATTTTTCATTATGTTATTTTGCACTGCTTATTTTACTTGAATGTTTTATTTATTCCATTGTGATGTTATTTTTTTTCTTGATTTGCATTTTATTTTGCTGTAATGTATCATTGGGCTTGGCTTCATGCAAGCAGTCCCGAGTTCCCTTTGTAGGAGATGGTGGCGGGGTATAAATAAAGATTAGTATTATTATTATTATATAGCATTTTGGCATATAATTCCACAAAACACAGATATGTAAATACAAGGAGAATTCGGAGGGAAATAATTATTTTCCTTGCACCAGGAAGAAAAGTATGGAAATTGCCTGGTCTTATACATGAGAATAATTATCTGGTCTTGTATGTGAAAATTTACATTCCTTTGTAGGACATATAGAAACAACTATAAAAACGATAGAAGGGTTAACTGAATACCATCCGATTACTGAACTAAAGTTCATTAGCAAACATTTTTAGGCTTCTGAAGGGACCAATTAAGTTGGGCTTGAAGGTAATGCATTATAAATAACACTAATCTTTGTACTTTGGGAACATTTTCTGGCCTTTTTAACTTAGTTTTATTTTTAAAAGGTAAATTATATCACAGCATATATTATTTAAATTATTTGACAAAGAATATTAAAACCATTTAATATACATGTTAGATATACATATAACATTATGTTTAGAAACACATCTAAAATACATTTAAATAAAGAGAAAAATGGCCTTAAAACACATTCTAAATAACTTAAAGGGAAAGGGGAACTTTAAAATACATTCTAAAATACTTTACAGATAAATCATATATACATATAATATGCCTTTTAAAACATTTTAAACTTTATGTACATAACTAAAGAACAATGCATTAATACAAAGGAATGCATACTGGACTAAGTTGGTACACTTGGCCTCCAAACTCTCTCACAACTCAATATCATTTAGGAATTTCAAAAGAAAAAAAAATAAAGTAACAAGTAATAGAATTAGTAATGCAATCCAAATTATTTTTACAAAACTCATCACTAATGACAAGTTAGTTTTGGGGCTATACAGTATGACCCACAGAGGACATGTTCTTGGATGTACCATGGAAACTGCAGATAATACAATTGAAATGGATGACCTTTGATGGAAACATACCATAGAATCAAACTGTAGGATAACATAAAAAGTGCCTAGATAGAACACTTATCTAGCATTTCTAGTAAGTCCGTGTAACTCTCTGGTCAATGTTCAGAGTTAGCATGCCATAGAATCATGATGAAAGACCTATAAAATGTCTAGAGCAGTGGTTCTTAACCTGTGGGTCCCCAGATGTTTTAGCCTCCAACTCCCAGAAATCTTAATAAACTTGATAAACTGGCTGGGATTTCTGGGAGTTGTAGGCCAAAACATCTGGGGACCCACAGGTTGAGAACCACTGGTCTGGAGAGAACATGATTTTTCAGATGTGCATGAAGGAAACTGCAGGTACTGGACCCGCTGATATAGAATGAGATACTGTAGAGTGAGATACATAATAAATTATTTTGTAAAAAGCAAACCTTGTTACAAAGTTTAGCAAAAGGTCTCCTTGCTGGCCCCTTTTCCCCCTTGTTTGTAGTCCTGTCTGCAGCCTTATTTGCTTTCCCGGGTGCGGTGAAGCACCATTTTCCCCATCTCTTATCCCCAAGGGTCCAGATTAAGGCAAGAAAGCACTGCCCCTATTATATAGTCAAACCTCATTGCAATGTATGCATTTTTAAAAATTATATTTGAAGCCAGATCCATGGTATGACAATGTCTGTTTTCATATTGAGATCTTGCAACTAAAACAAACAAACAAAGGAATGATGATACTTCTAAATTGCTATCAACCCAATTGGTGTAAGTGCTTTGCTTCTATTTTTAATGTTATTCCAAAAATCAACAAGAGGGAGACCAGCATGAACAATGTAGTCAATGATGTGGGTGCGTGGGGACATTCTGATTCAATCCGGATAAATAAAGGTAGAAAATTAATTTCTTGTTTTATATTTTCTGGTAACAGAAATACTTCTGAATATAAAAATTTAATGTAAACATTATTCATGTACCATAAAATATTTGTACACTATGAGTACTTTGGTTTAGAATAATTTATTGGAAAGAATATGAAATTTTAATCATACCAAAAATTATTAGGAATAACTAGATGCACACATTTTAATCTGTGTAATGTATGCATTTAAAAATATCTTTGTAAGAAATGAAATTAACCCAGGAAGTAGATTTATATGCATAATGATTAAACATACATAAACACCATGTACAAGTTCATACAGTATTCCACTGATATATGGACTACTTTGAGCACTGAGTTACAATAAAATATTAGTATATAAGTGTCCCAAACTGTGAAAGAAAATGGTGCTGCACAGGCACACCCCAGTTTGTAAACTGGGGAACATGATTTACTAGTCCTTTCTTCTCTCCCAACTGTGTAACAGAACTACACATCCACAACCCTAGCATCTGTGTGAGTATACTGTTGGGCTACAGACAAAGAATAAGCATTCCTGTTTCTAAAATATTATTTACCATTACATGAGTAAATATTTATTTTATTAACAGTCTCCTGTTCAAAATATGCAGGCCTGGACCCTACTAGTAGTCTAAAACAGACTGAAACCCACTGAATCAACTACTGAATTCTGAGTTAATATATTTAAATCCCTTCGGTGAATGGGTCTATTGTAATAATGGCTGTCAATATGATTTAGTCCACATTCTCCTGCCTATTCACACACAGATCTCTCTACAGAAGTGATAGAAAAATTGAAATTGTCATGCTGTCTTGGGGGAGATAGTCCCAAAGCTATGTCTAAGGAACAATACCTTGTGAAACAAATTCTATCCTGACAAATGTGACATTACATTACCGTCACAGAAAACAGAAAAGGGTACAATGAGAAGCAACAAATTTCAGCATAACATATAAGTTCTTGAATTTATTTTTCTAAATTTTCTCATCCATAAAGGAAGAGAAAACATGCTGTTCTTTAAAAGACACAGCAGCAAAAGTGGATTTCACTGGCTTATATATATATATATATATATATATATATATATATATATAATCAACAAACTAATTGCCTTATATTAGCTGTATATTAACAAGATTAGTTCTGGAGAATACTCAATTAGGCATTTCAATTTATCAATTGTTTCATGGGTTCACTCTACCTTGTGTCATCTTCCTCCCATATTCTGGTTTAGCTAGGAGAACTTTGATCACTAATTGTAAAAAGATTGACCGCCAATCCCATTTCTTCTTCTTCCTTCTCCCTGGCTGCTCAGATGCCTTTGCTGATGTCAGCATAGGTGCCCAAGCTCTGTAGCTATCTGCCACAGGGATGGGGATGATATGGATCCAACCTATTAGTTTTTCCCTGTGCTGCTGAGAACAAGGAAAGAGGGGTGGCAGTGCTGATCCTTATGGATGACAGACTGGTTCACTTTAATGCTGCTCACGTTGTCTGCACTCTGTCTGAAGTGCTGGGTTGCTCCAGAACTTTGGGAAAATTCTGGAGCATTCCCCAAATTTGCTTAATGTTGGGTTAACTAGGTTCAGCTTGGTTAAGGACCAGAAGTCCCTGGATGCCATTTGGACATCCAGGACCAACTTCTGGTCCACTCTGGATTTTAGGGCTAGTGTAGACTTGCACCAGGAGAACACAATTTTCACACTTCATTAAGTATGAACATCTATCACATTGCTAAGGGACAGAGTTATTTATTTATTTTTATTTGTCGTGTCAGGACAACCAGTCAAATTATATTACATTGGCATTATATTATATAACTCTGTCCCTGTAATGTAATAGGGACAGAGTTATATAGTGGATATAGAAACAAAACACTTTGTATCACTCACAGACATGCTATTAAAAAGAGACCAGAAATTATGTAGAATTATGTCTGATCTTTGCAGAATGCTACAAGTACTATGTAATTTGGCATCAGTTGTTAACACATTGCTTCCAAAAACTTTCCCAAAATACCAACCAAATGAAGTTGCAAGAATAATATACATATCAAGATAGAAATGGGGGAAATTCCACCAGGAAGATTAAGTAAATTGTACAGGAAATTGTATAAAAATAATACTTTTCCATCATCCTATCATTAGAT